AAGTTGAAGTGGAAATGACGATATGAAATGAGGGAATTGAGTTAATAATTAAAGGATAATTTTGTCATTTTATCAATTAAAACTTGTGATTTATTTCTTTATTTTTTATTCATAGTCAAAGGCCATTTCACCAATATCATTGTCGGACAATTGGGTCAAATGGCCAAATTCCCCGGGGAAAAACTACCGGGCTCACACATATAGTTCGAAAACTCAGTTCACATAATAGTAGTTACAAAACTAAACAGTAAATTCTCTTCTGTCATCATCTTAGTATTGAAATTAGAAGGAAAAAAAATCCGAGAAACATTGATGGCGGACATGGACCTGGACGACCTGTTGGTTGTCCCGACGCAGGGCCCATCTTGAGCTGCCCGGTTCGCGCCTAAGGGCTCCAAGTTCAAATCCAAACCCAAAAACGAATCATCTCAATCTGATTCAATCGAATTATTACCTAAGGAATTTGATTCCACTGTCTCTACTAAAAAGGAGGAATTCGACGCCAGACCCGAATATGAGAAAAACGAGGTGGAAATGGATGTTGAAGTTGAAGTGAAGCCGGACGAAGAAAATGAAAATGAAATTAAAGAAAAGATGATCGATGATTTAATGGAAACAGAAGAAGCGGAAGGTGAAGCTCCAGATGATGTTGTTCAAGAAATTGATGTGTATTTTGCTCCTTCTGTTGATCCTAATACTAGGGTAATCAAGCTTCGTTTTTTATTATTCAGTGAAAAGGCCATTTGCATTTTCTTTTGAAATAAATTTGCATACTGTTGATGTTTATTTTTGTATCTGTAGTTGTATGTGTTGCAATATCCATTGAGGCCAGTGTGGCGGCCATATGAGTTGGAGGACAGATGCGAAGAGGTACGCATTATTAAAACATGTTTGGCATTTTCGTCCCATGATAAAGAATCTGCATTTGGTTAATAGACAATTTAGAAATTATGAGAAATTGTGGTTTATTATTCAGGTAAGGGTGAAACCAGCAAGTTCAGAGTTTGAAGTTGATTTGGCAGTTAATTTCGACTCCGATAACTATGATTGTGATGCTGATCCTAAAGTTCAGATAATGAAGCAGGTTTGAATTTCCCTCCTTATTGTATACATTTATATTATCTGACTAATATATGCATTGGAGTCCACTTCATTTTAAGGATGGAAAGTCCACTCAACTAAAAATCGGGGAGAGGTAAACTTTAACTCAACAATTAGAACAGCATCTTAACAATGGCAGGTGCTCAGATGAATTCATGGATTCTCTGTTCGATTTGACAATACTTAAGCCCTATTGTTTTCTGTTCTATCTTTTTTGTATCATTTTTGTAATTCAGAGAATTAGCTATGATACTCGTTGCTTTATTAAAGGAGGAAAAATATGCATCATCTTTCTGTTTGTATTCTATCGGTAGACTCTTGCTTCATCATGGAAACCACCTCGCACAAGTGGGTATGCTGTTGGGGTTCTAAGAGCAAATAAGGCACGTTCTATGATCTCTGAGTACTCGCTTCATTTCCATTTCTAATTCTATCTGTGCAGCGGATTATAATCCGCTGTTAAAGTTCCTTTCCAAGCTTGACTGACTTTAAGCTCTTACAACTCCTCCCTTTCATTTTCATGGAGTTGCACATCAATCCTATTCATTCAGTTGTGCAGCTCCGACCATCAATGCAACATCTCAAGTCCAGGGATTCTAAAAATAAGAAGACTGGAACTGGTAGTGTTGAAGGTGCTGTTAAGGTTGAAGAGTCCGTGGAAGAAAAACCTTTGGAGGCATCAAAGAAGCAGGTTATATTTCCCTTTCTCAACTTGCTCGTTGCTAAATTTATTTTTCGGTTTGTAACCATTTCGGTCTCATTGATTTTTTCAATTAGATGCTAAGAGCAACTACTACTTTCTTGAATGAATGCATCACTTGTTCAGTTAAGAAAGCCCATTTCTTTTTATTTTTTTTGGGGAAAAGCTATCTAGGCCCTTGGAAGGCTGTCCAGTTCATATTTGCATACTTTTTTTTCCTTTAAAGTATGTGTAGATAATACCTTTATAAAATTCAAGATAGATCTGAAATGCGCTTATTGGAGTTATAAATGCCCATACCATTTCACGTTCTTGCGTCAAGTTTACTTTACATGCAGTAGTCTTTGGCTCTTTTTTGCTTATTATCTTTTTTTATTTTAGTTTACATCTCGAGACACATATTACCTTTGCAGACCAAGCCATCAGGCCAGAACAAGGATAGTGGAGAGGTATGCACTTTGTTCATCTGTTTGCCCAATTTGTACAACGATAATTGACTTCGTGTTGTTGCTATTCCAATTAACCTAACTTAAAACAAATGAGAACGCAACTCTTGTATTCATTTGGTTGTATATTCCATAGACAGATAGATGATGAATAAATGATTTTACTTAGAGGATTCACATCTCTATGTGTAGTTAAACAACTATTCAATTTTTAAAATACATTCCTATATGTGACTATATGAGTTAAGTCAAAAAAGTGACCCTCTGTATAAAACATTGGGATGACCTTTGAGCATTTAGTCCCTTTTTATGGCCATTATAAAGAAAAATTGGGGGAAAATGATGTTTTGAATAGTGATTTTTTTGAGAATGCGTGATTAAAAAATGGGGAAAAGTTTTGAATTTACGTACAGAATGTTTTATTGTGTGAATGTGTGATTAAAAATGAATATGAGAATTAAAGAGTTTTAATTTAAAGAGAGTCAAACATGGGCTTAATATCTTGTAACTGAAAATTTTATTGTCTGTCAAAAGAATAACATTTATGTTTATTGTTAATTGGTTTTTTGCAAGGTGGCGCTATTATATTATTTCGTTGTAGTAATGGCCTTTAGATTAGTTAGGGTGAGAAGGGTGAAGAGCTCATCAATAGAAGTTAAAATTAATCTAAGCTTTGTTTTTTTTGAGGAAATGTAAGCATATCTTGCCAAAGGAAGAGTATACTTTAAAACATTACATCTGTGTTTATTATAGCCAGTGTCCAATACATGACAATGTGGTGGCATAACAACCTCTAAAGTCTAGGCACATCTTCGATGCCAATGACGGTCTGTTTAGACCTACTGATTTTACTATGCATTAAATTATGCTTGGGTTTAACTGCATATAATTTTTCTTTAATATCTTTGTTAATGACTATTCATGTTTGACAAGTTATTTGGTTATGAAATCAAGTTCCTTCACTGAAGGAGTATCAGAGTCTGATACATGTATAATTTTCTTTTCCCAAGTTTAGTTATTAAATGAAATATTGTGAATTTAATTGTACTTATTTTCTTTGTTATCACGCTGTTAGAATCTTGTGGCCATTTGTGTGCTTTAGGGGGGGTGTAATAGCATTAAATGAAATATTGTGAATTTAATTGTACTCATTTTCTTTGTTATCACGCTGTTAGAATCATGTGGCCATCTGCGTGCTTTAGGGGGATGTAATAGAGCTTTTAATTGTTGCAAATTTTTCATCAATCTCCAAAATTTTAAATTACATGAATCTAATGATTTTATTATGCTATTTCTGGCTTCAATTTTTTTCCTCAGAAAGCAACAGGCTTGGGGCAAAGATCTATGAAATGGAGCACAATGCCTTTCATTCCTGCTAGTTTGACTTAACTATGGATTTTAAATATTAATTTTTTTCCCACTATTTTCTGTTTCTTTGTAGGATTGGGTTCCTCTCAAGTACCATAACGCAAGGAGTGACATTGCAGATAGATATCTACAAAAGATGGCAGCACAAGAAGTCTCGCCTATTAATTTTTCTATGAGCTCGTATGCATTAAGATGCTGATACCTTCTATTTTCATCAATTTTCTACAAAGATTACGGAAATTCCTTCGAATTTTCTGTATTGGAATCTATGTGTTGGGGAGCTACCTGGTGTGGGCTTTGCAGCCAGCTCCGAAAACGGGTTCCAACCCTGCGCACCTTTACTTTGCCTAAAAATATGAATAGTTGGCGCTTATTTCTCAAAGTAAAGAACCCTTTCAAGCCAANTGAAGTCACAATCTCTGGCACATTCGGTGACACATTTTCTGAGGAATCAGATAGCGAGTAAATTCTGAAGGTAATAATAAAAGAGAATTTATCCTTTAAATCTCTTTCAAGTTCTAATCTTGGTCCTGTTGTGCTAAAATGAATTGAAATTAACCCTGTTTGGTCTGGATTAAAATCAAATGTTTGGCTAAGGTTGGCTCTATTTTATGGGCCTCTTGAAGTTATTCTAGGAATTACTCATCCATAATGTGTGATTGAAAATGAATATGAAAGAGTTTTAATTTGAAGTGAGTCAAACATAGGCTTAATATCTTGTAACTAAAAGTGTTATTGTCTGTCAAAGAATAACATTTATGTTTATTGTAACTTGGTTTTTTGCAAAATCGCGCTATTATATTATTTTGTTGCAGTAATGGCTGTAGAGTAGTTAGGGTGAGAAGGGAGAAGAGCTCATCAATAGAAGTTAAAATTATTCCAACCTTTGTCTTTTTCCGAGGAACTATAAACATATCTTGACAAAGGAAGAGTATACTTTAAAGTATGACATCAGTGTCTGTTTTAGCCAGTTGTGTCCAATACATGACAATGTGGTGGATAACTACCTCTAAAGTCTAGGCACATCTTCCATGCCAATGACAGTTTGTTTAGACCTATTGATCTTACTATGCATTAAATTATGCTTGGATTTAACTTCATATAATTTTTCTTTAATATCTTTGCTAATGACTATTCACGTTTGACAAGTTATTTGGTCATGAAATCAAGTTCCTTCACTGAAGGAGTATCAGAGTCTGATGTATAATTTTCTTTTCCCAAGTTTAGGCATTAAATGAAATATTTTGATTGTACTCATGTACTCATTTTCTTTGTTATCACGCTGTTAGAATCTTGTGGCCATTTGTGTGTTTTAGGGAGATGTAAAAGAACCTTCAATTGTTGCAAACTTTTCACTAATATCCAAAATTTTAAATTACATGGATCTAATGATTTTATTGTGCTATTTCTGGTTTCAATTTTTTTCCATAAAGCAACAGGCTTGAGGTAAAGATATATGAAATGGAGCACAATGCCTTTCATTCCTGCTAGTTTGACTTAATTATGGATTTTAAATATTAATTTTTTTCCCACTGTTTTCTCTTTCTTTGTAGGATTGGGTTGACATTGAAGATAGATATCTACTAAAGATGGCAGCACAAGAAGGCTCGCCTATTAATATTTCTATGAGCTCATATGCATTAAGATGCAAGTACCTTCTATTTTCATCAATTTTCTACAAAGATTACGGAAGCTCCTTTGAATTTTCTGTATTGAAATCTATGTGTTGGTACTAATTCATTTGTTTTATTTTATTCCAATTTGAAGGCGTGATTGTCTGAATAGATTGTGTCCGGGCACCTCTAATGGCAATTTCAGATCTAGAGTTCCTACAAGAAGGTATCTCGCTTCCTGTTTGACATAATTTATCTGCTGGTGATGAATACTGTTTGTACACTAATGAGACCATTTTCAATAAAAAGACATCTTTTGAATTGTTTCAGATACACCAGAAATTTCGATATATTGTTCTTCATCTTGTTTCTAGTAATTTCTTTGCTACATTCATGAATGTTTAAAGTTTGCTTTCCTTTGATTGATATATTACTATTCACAAGCATTCCGAAGTAAACCTGTTTGTGAATGTATGGACGAGAATTAAGTTGGAAAGTTCTCTGGGTACTTGAGGTGACTTTATATTCAGTTTCTCATGAATAGAGTTTTCATAAGTATGTCTTTTGCTCTTAACAGATTATTGACATTTAGAATCATAATTTAGCACTGATAATATCACTAGATAGTAGTTTTGTTGCTTGTATGGTAGTAGTGCTCGGGGACATTTTAATTTTATTGCTTCACCTCATTTCTTGAATTACTTTTTTAGTTGAACTTATATCCTCATGAAGTCAATTTCTCCTATTATCTATTTTATATTGCCATAACAATGACTTATCTGGATAATTGTTAACATTCCTTTGCTTTTCCATAGGAAAACATTGCATAATACTTGCAATTGTCTTTACACCTGTATATGAGTTATAAATCTTCAGTTTGTAATGTGATGTTGTTTCAGGTTTTTGATGACTTTGCCACTAAAAGAACGGTGCAAAACTTGGCTTCTTGAGGTCTGTTGCTACTTACTTTGATCTCAAAGCTGTATTCAAGGATATCCTTTTGGTCATTCCTTACATGTATAACATGGATTAAACAGCAATTTCTGATTTTTCTTGTGATTGATGTATGAAGTTGATGGAACAGGGTTCTCCCATTAATCGATTTGACGCTCTAAAGCACCTAGCTCCAGATGAGTCTATTGAAGAAGTTTTGTAAGTCCTGCAGTAATATGCTCGATCAGTCCAAGGACTGTGGGTTCCAAAAAGTTCACTGGTATACGGAACAGATTCAGGAATTGAAGTTTTAGCCAGGGACTATGTTCTTCTTTTGTTTAGCAAGAATCCACTAATTAACAACTCACAAATACCTCAACGTCCTCAACTTGCTAAAGCAATGAAAGATGTCCTCAATGTATTGGCTGTTGAGAGAACCTCCTTTAGTGATTGGAAATTCAGAGAGCTTCCTGATCGGAGATTCATAAAACTCAATCCTATGGTTGCAAAGCAACAAGAGGAAGAATGGGAATCCTTGGAAAAGAAGATAAATGATCTTCTTTTTGGAGGAAGAAATGGACCTGCTACGAAGACTTCTTCAAAGTCTAATATCATAAACAATCCGGCCACGTCAATGATTTCCAGTAAAGCAGCTCCGAAAACTCCAAATGGGGCATCCTCAAGGACGCCAACGCCAGACGAGACCCGANCAATGATTTCCAGTAAAGTAGCTCTGAAAACTCCAAATGGGGCATCCTCAAGGACGCCAATGCCAGAAGAGACTCGAGAAGCTTTAATGAAGGCCCTTCAGAAACTTTTCAAAAGCATCAAGGTTTTCAGGTGAGATCACCTCATTACATCAAGTCCTTAATTTCACATAGTAGTTATATGTGGTCATATTTTTGATTGAAAATAGTTATTGTTACTGCATTGACGTTTTGTATCCTAAAGCACTAGGTAAACAGTTATATTCCATGTGATTTGATTAGTATTTGACATTTTTTTTCGCAAGCAACAAGTGCTGCTGGGACTTTGACATCCATGGCCTTTTCTGGCCCTGGCTTATTAAAAAAATTGAGACATGGTATAGTAAGTGGAAGAGATGAGAAAGATGGGTGGTTATATGAATTAGTTCTCTGATTGCACTTAGCATGGGACACTAGTAGGATTGCATTTTTGCATTAGCTGGGCTGGTGCAATTGACATGGTTTAACAAAATGCCAATGGACCATATTTAAGCATTTTTTGTTATTATTTTTATATTACTTACATTCTCAATGCAAAGGTAAAGAAACTTGTTTGAATTTACTTATTTAATTAAATTTATTCAAGCTAATGTGCCCTTTAATCTAGCAAACCTAACTTCACCCTCAGAGTGTTAGGGTTTTCTTGTGGCAATTTAGTTTGATTGTCAATAGATGAAATTTTACTTGGTGCTATGTATGCCAGTTTTCAACAAATTTGCCAGCGTTTGAGAGACTTGGTAGTTTCTGAGTCTGCCCGTTCGAGGGGATTTGCCAAAGAGGCAGTTGCTGCAGCAAACATCATTGGTGCTTTTCTTGATGAGCTTCAGGCCATCATTAGTCAATTTGCATTTAATATTCACGGTGTCTATGTTCCGAAATCATCACCAGATCATCCACAATATGATCCATTCAGGTTACACCTGCCTTCATTTATATTGGTTTTAGAACATTGATATTTTTCTTTTACCATGTTTTCTTTATAAAAAAGGATCACCATTTTATATTGTTCATTTTTGATTTGTGGTTCTTTCCCTTCCAGGAAGGTTGTCATTGATCTTCTTATTGCTGAAGGACCAAATGCAAAGCTCAAAAAGGCTCCCATAGTCGAGGCTGCTAAAATGGAACTTCAAAGGGATATACCTCAGATTGAATATCAGAAGGTCGGAGTCAAGCTTACGAATTAATTATGACGAAATTATAATTAGATGTTGAAATCAAATACTCTCTCCTTGATACCATTGAGGTAAACGTACTATTTCTTGAAAAAAATTTAATTAGGTTTTGATTAAATTTTGAGGCCTTACGAAAGCACAAACAAGATTGAGATTGTCACAGGAGATATAGGGGATAACCACTCTCAGTGTGTGGGTGTATGTGGTTGGGAGGAGGGAGGCCTAACGGCCTTGCCCTTAATCTAGCATCTATCTTACGTGCCTATCACGACAGCTTCCAATGTTTTCCCTTCCTATGAAAGACTCTAAAGCATTGCTCAACCTATGTTACCCACTTCTTTTAAATGTGCACTTAGGACTTAATCTAGCATCATGCTGATGAGAGGAAGCTAAACAATGGAATTATAAAGCAAAGAAATGTGTAGTGAATATACTTGTGAGAGCTGGTTATATGTGATGTGAGGGAAGATATTTTATGCTCCTAGAAGTTCCCCCATGCATATGCTCTTAGAATTCCCTCAATAATTAAGAATACTCTTAGTGAACACCCAGCAAATTTTCTGATTCTCGTGTGAATGTCTCAAGTCAGACCTTGTGGGAAAAGTATATATACACATGATTTCCTAAGCAACCAGTCCTATAGCTTCTTATCAGTTTCCTATGCAGAACCTTAGTTACTAGGATGAGAAACAGAGATATTTTACTGGTCATGTTCCCTTCATTGTCGTCCTTGGTTCCAGCACTTAAATACTTAATTGACCTACTGAGCCTCTTGTCCTTTTCCCTATTATCATTGGTGGAAGCTTTAATGACTTATTTGTGAATAATTGCTTGCTAATTTAGGTTTATGTATTCCCTTGTGATCTGCAGGTTTTACAGGAACCGTGTGTATCACAAGGTTCTGCATGGGTCCTTAAAAGTGGTGATGGAAATCTACAAAAGTAAAGTTCATGCAACCAAATCCTACGTTAGTCTATGAGGTACGAATGAGCATATTAACTACGTATTACGATAAATAGAAGAGTAAAAAAGTAGACACATCTCACCACAATACTTAATGGAAAATTGCTGAACTGCATGAAGTTCTTGAGCTTCTTGTGTTCAAGAAAGAAAATCTCTGCTTATTCTGTTTACGTAGAGCATTGTGATCTGTTGTGGTTTGTCTGAATTTACCCAGAAGTGCCTTCATGCTCGACTTAATGTGATGTCCGAGTTATGCATTTGAAAAAGAGGATTAACATCATTCATTGAAGCTATATCAGTGCATGTCCAGTGCTAACATCAGTTTAAATCACCCTTGAATATTGCCTAATTGATCCTCATAACATATTGGAATTTGATAAGTTAATAGGTCTGTGCAATGTAAATGCCAATGTACATATGCACAAAATAAGGAATGTGTGTTTACATATACATATTTGTGTGTAAATAACTATTGAGATAGCTGTGGTACAAAAGTCATTCGTTGAAGTTGGTAAGGAACCCGTTTCTTTGGAAGCAGCTAAGGGATGTATTCTTGAGATCCTGAGTGGCTCTTTGAACATTCAACCTTCCGGTGGAGACAGGATGATTTAAAATATACAAAGGATATAAACCACACTCTGGATGAGTGTTCTGTAATTAGACACGGTAATATATACTGTCAGAGTTGATATTAAATTTTGTTAAATATATATGATTTCATGCTGCTACAATGTATCCATTTTTGGGTGTGGGGATTGGTCGACGTTAGCATCAAGTCCACAAGATATGAGCAGTTTTCCTTCTCAAATTGGCCATATTTTTTTATGGATCAATTAAATACGTCATCCAACGGACTCTATACTCTGCACTTTCAAAGTTGCATGTCGGATATGGCGGTTACTAATTTCTACACATAAATTGAGCTGTTATCTACTAGAGAACTGGGATGCACGTGGTTTCATGCTCATGACTGTTTTTCTAACCATTAAACGTGTATGATTCGTAATCTAATTATCTGATCATTTCAGGGACTTCTTTTGCGACTGTTAGCTATTGCAAGAACGTCTATTGTTTGTTTGTCGAACAAGGTAAAATGTTCGGCCCTATTGTCATTTCATCCAAATAATTCTTATTTGATATTTTATGGAAAGGGAATAATTATAATGACTTGCAAATGCATTGATTCTCTTGAATGAATTAGAGAATCTAAGCGCTCAATTTACATATGTGAACCTGGCCCTTGTACCCAAGTCGAAGTGATGCAGTAGACACCTCGTGCTATCAAATTTTTCTTACAAGTGCCTTTGCGAATTAAGCTTTGTATGTGATATCTTTTTTGCAGGTGCTACACCCTTATTATACTTCTCTGCCAATTTTATTTGTTCACTATCTGGAATTTTATTTGGCCGGATCAGGTCACCGGAGTATGAATGGCTATCTAGCGTGATTTTGTATGCAGTGACGATCTTACACAGTAGGAAGGCAGGCAAAAAAAAAAAAAGGACAATAGATCTCGAAATTTAACTTCATTTACATATATGGTTATTCATTGTATAGCTAAATTAGTCTCTAAACCAAGGACCGATGAGTGTTTTCCATGTGTTGGCTATTGGTTGACTGGGCATTGTAAGACTCTTGTTAGAGGGTAATTGTTCATGTTCATTGCTTCTAACAGGCTCCTCTCAGACATTAATATAGGGTATAATATTGAAATGTTGTGAACTGTAAGTCCCTCGAAGAAACCCAAATGTGGAGTTGTTTAATGGCTTGTTTGGTTGGGCTTTTGAAAAGTCAAACCTGTTTATGAGATTATCTATCGTTTTGGACGATTTTTTGGAAATGATTTGGCTGGTTTGATGAGTTTTTAAAGAAAATTGATAAATTTTTACAAGTAGAAGTCTTCTCAAACAGGTCTAAGTATAAGTTCATTTAATTGAGTTCAGCGAGGATTAGTTTGTTTTACTCAACATGCTTTTTAAAATAAAAAATGAACTACCGTAGATCAAGATGAATTGATCTATAAACAACTGCTCTAACCTTTAAAAAATTCGAGTCATTTTTACGTTGTCAATTTGTGCTTGTTTGGAGAAGTTAAAAAGTTGATTTTGTTAAAAACAAGTGGAAGGTTTTTCGAAATGAGTGGTGGAAAAGCATGTAGTAAATGTGGATTTTATGTAATATATGATTAACATTAAGGGTGGTTATATTAATGATAAATAAGAATTGCTTTGCTGTACAACTAATTTAATAAATAAATAAATAATGTGCCTCTTCCATGACTTGTCGGACCAACAAACCACGAGTATTTTTTGCGTTTGGGGAGCGGAAAAGGAAAAGCAAGGGAAGATAAGATAAGAGCTCAAAGCCAAGAAAAAAGGTTCAAAGGTGTGGACAGAGTCAAAATGGAATCCCAAGAGAGTGGCCATGACAGTTGACAATGTTGAAGACAAAATCCAACCGTAAATCAGAGGCGGCTGAAATGTAGTCAAAATTATTCAGTCCACGCGCTTTTTCTCCCTCTTGCCTCGCAGCTCCCTCAATTTTGGCATATATATATACATACGAATTCAAACTTGTGTTCATANTTTCTCCCTCTTGCCTCGCAGCTCCCTCAATTTTGGCATATATATATACATACGAATTCAAACTTGTGTGCATACAAGCTGATATAATTATACAGTGGTTGTTACAATTACAGTATTCAAATTAATACTATAAAATTGTGATTATACAGTACCAAGATTTTTCGGCGGTTGCAACCCACTGAGGGCAATTTATATAGTATAATATTTTTGGGAACTGCTTTGAGATTAAAATTAGATTTTAATTTGAACCAAACATGTGCTATAATCTCATGGTATCTAATTAGAAATAATTCATGCTAATTAAATTAATGAAAACCAAACAATTCCGTCCACTAATTTAATCCCAATTTGATTCTATTTACAACTAATTAACTTACATAGATTTAATTTAGAAAAGAAAAATGGAAAATTCTAAGAACTTACATACAAATGACATGTTAATAAATTATAAACAAATAATAAGATAAGCACCCATATAGTTTATTTCAAGTTTTATTGAATTGTATGCATAATATAATTAACTTTAATTGACATGTCAATCGTCTAAAACATTCGGGTTTTCCTAANAGATTTAATTTAGAAAAGAAAAATGGTAAATTCTAAGAACTTACATAGTTTCTATATACATAGAAATGACATGTTAATAAATTATAAACAAATAATAAGATAAGCATGTCATATAGTTTATTTCAAGTTTTATTGAATTGTATGCATAATATAATTAACTTTAATTGACATATCATTAGTCTATATTTGCAAAAATTAGGAAAAGAGAAACATGACCTAACATGTTAGAATTAAAATTTTAGTAAATTTTAATAAAAATTGATACAATATGTGATTAAAAAGTTACGCATATCATAAAATACGTGATTTAAATGAATTGTTGATTTTGACTTTGATAAAAATTTAAATTTTCAATTCCCATCCAACATACCTAAATACAATTATGCTACATGTACAATGATGATTGACAATATTTGTTGACAATTATGATTTAGATTGTGTTTGTTAGAGATTGAAATCAGATTAAAATTAAAAAATTAGTCGTTATTGTAGACTTTTATTAGACGAGTGAAACCCAATAACGACTATATTTTCAATTTTAATTGGATTAAAATTTCTACCAAACAGTCTCTTAATATCATCACATTCATTTATTTCAAAAAATTTCAAAAATTATTTTTTAAGTCAATTGTCCAAAATTGACCGCATCAAATATTGTCCACAAATTTTGTCAAATCACTATACTTCATATGACTACTTTACAACACTCTCTCCTCAATGACTACTTTACTAGTCTTCTCTCCTCAATGATTACTAGTCTTCTTTCTTCATCCGTTTACATTTCCTTCCCTTTTCTTGGTTTTCATTCCATTTTCAGATCTACAACCTCCATTTCCATGGCTTCAAAGTTATAAGCTAATCAAAATTTTCTGTTTTTGCTTCAGTGGTAGCGTCTAT